CTCAAACTCACGAACTGTGAGATCATGACCTGAGCTGAAGTCCGTCAGTCGCTTAACCGACTGAGGCACCCAGGCGCCCCACCCCCTTTTTTTATGTAGGTTTCATGTCCATCGTGGGGCTTGAACTCACAGCCCTGAGATTGAGAGCCACCCAGATGACCCTCTTTTTATTTATTTATTTTTTAAGTAGGTGCCATACATAGCTTGGGGCTGGAACTCACGACCCCGAGATCAAGAGTCATGTGCTCCACCGACTGAACCAGCCAGGCACCCCAAGCCTGGACTTTAGAATCAGACAGAAATGGGCTGGAAACCCCCCTTCAGCCACTTACTTGCTGGCAAACTTGATTGGCTCACCAAACCCTTGGCTTCCTCAGTTGTAGACAGGGATCATCACACCAAATAAATCTGGTGGACTGGCCACATGCAGTTGCCGTCCGACTCTCATGAAAGCCCACTAAAATGACAGTAAAGGAATAAAACACTTTCAATCCACAAGTGCAAAGAGAACAGGAAGGGAGGAAACAGCTAGTGAAACACATAAACAAACTTTAGGACAGGAAAATGATGGAATGACTTATTTTACAAAACATTCTTAACACCTTTGGGGGGAACCCTGATAAGTTTCACTGCTGGCGAGCTGAGGCGGGGGACTAAAAACTGCAGTGTCTGCAAGTCAGTGCATGAACCCGGGGACCTGGGCCCTCCTACCCTGCCCTGATGACTGTATCCAATTCCTTCCGTCCCACCACGTGCTCTCAATAGGAGACTTTCCAGTGGAGAAACTGACCAGCCCCAGAGAAAAGCTTCACTGACCACGGCATTGCAGAAGGAAAAGCCATTCCTACAGTGAAGCCATGCCCCCACACAAAGGGCATCCAGGTCTCACGCATACGTGGGGACAGACAGGCAGCCAGATCTCTAGACTTAGAAGGAAAACCTGCAGTGTGAAAGATAGACCAGAAGAAGCCAACCCAGAGAGCAAAAGGAAGGTTTTTAGAAAGAGCTGTATTTGGGGTGCCTGGCTGGTGGAGCACATGACTCTTGATCTCAGGATCATGGGTTTCAGCCCCATGTTGGGTGTGGAGCCTTCATTCATTCATAAATAAATAAACAAACATACATCATACACACACACATACATACATACGTACATACGCGTGGGTGGCTCAGGTCATGATCTCATGGTTTGTGTGTTTGAGCCCTGGCATCAGGCTCTGCACTGACAAAGCCTACTTGGGATTCTCTGTCTCCCTCTCCTTGTGTCCCTTCCCTGATCTCTCTTTCTTTCAAAATAAATAAGTAAACATTAAAAAAAAAAAAAAGGCTCTATTTGATATTTCCAGAAAAGATACTGCTTCCATGAAATGAGAATAAGATGCCTTGAACGATAACAAGCACCAAACAAATCAGAACAAGAAAGAGCTACTAGAAATTAAAAACATAAGTAAAAATTCAAGAGCAAAATCGGAAGATACAGTTAAAGAAATCTCCTGGCAAGCAGAACAAAAAAACAGATGGAAAATAAAAAGGATGGAAATCTTGTTTTTTTTAATAACAGTAGCTGTGACTTTTTTTTTTTTTTTTAACGTTTATTTATTTTTGAGACAGAGAGAGACAGAGCATGAACGGGGGAGGGTCAGAGAGAGAGAGGGAGACAGAGAATCTGAAACGGGCTCCGGGCTCTGAGCTGTCAGCACAGAGCCCGACGCGAGGCTCGAACTCACAGACTGTGAGATCATGACCCAAGCCGAAGTTGGACACTCAACCGACTGAGCCACCCAGGTGCCCCAAGAGGATGGAAATCTTACTCTAGAAGGTACGATATGTAATTAATAGGAACTTCGGAGAGAACACAGAAAACGGAGAGGGGCAAATTACGAAAGACTAAGGTAACACAGGCCACGGCTCAGGGACACAAGTCTCCATACTGAAAGGGCCCAGGCAAGGAAGAAAGGCCGCCCGCGAGTGACATCATCAGGCACGGCAGAGGCAAACAGGAGGGCTGCAGACCAAGTGAAGATCCCCCCACCCCCACCCCAGAGCTTGAAGGAGGGGGAGGTGAGGAGGGAGAAGACCCTGGAAGGATGGAGAATCAGACTTTACTCCTGGAACACGGGAAGCTGGAAATTCTGTCAAATTTTTGAGGGACTAGGATATCCATGCACACCTTCTATGCCCAGAAAAATCTTTCCACTAGGCCTAAAGCCACTGCCATAAAAGGGACAACGTATTTAGCACACATGAAGCTACCAGAGGGTTCACGTCTCCAAAATGTTAGGGACTATCCATTGGAAGATGATCTGGCATCCAGAACACGGGTTTCAAGCCAGATGAGAGTGACAGCAAAGTGTGGGATGGTGCCTGTGCGGAGACCCCTGAGTAGGTGTGAGAAGAGAGGGGTATGCAGTCTGGAGCAGGAGGCTGCCACCTCCCACAGGGAGGCCTCCAGAAAACACGGTACTCATCGGGTGCCCTCACGTGCTTGAGAATCCGGAAAAGTTACTGCAAAGAGCTCGACCTACCTCTCAGAGCCTTTGGGGGAAAATAGCAAAATAAGCATACAGAGAAACAAGCAGAGAAGAAAAAGTGACAAGCGTTCGGCAAGAAAGGAAACCTAACCATCGTACATTACTCGGCTTAGCAGCGAAGCGATTCACACGGCCATGATAATGTGCACGCTGACTGGTGAGTTAGCCAAAAGTTGTGATAAAACCCTAGTAGAAGGATGGAGGGATGAAAAGTGGGCTTATTGGGGTGTAAGAGGGCCGAAGCTTCATCTGAATTTGTGGGAAGCCTTTTGGTGCTGCCTGCAACAGATACTTTGGAAAGCAGCAATTTATAATCTAAGGGTCTGTGGTTCCCAATTGGGGGCAGTTTTGCCCCCAAAGAGGCATTTGTGGTGGTCACAGCAGGGTGGGAACGTTACTGGCATCTCCTGGTTCATTAGTTTCCTGTTGCCACTGTTAAAAATCACCACGAATTTAGCAGCTTAAAACAACACATCCCTTGTCTCACAGTTAAGGAATTCAGAAGTTCTAAATGAGTCTCAACTGGGATAAAACCAAGGTGCAGGTGGGGTCCTCGCCTTCTGATGAGAATCCGTTTCCTCGTTTTTCCAGCCTTAGAGGCGCCCCCCCCCCCCCCCCCCCCCCGTGTCTGCAAATTGCGTCATGCCAGCCTCTTGGCGTCGTCCCCCACCCCTTCCCTGACCCCTCACTAAAGGACTTCCACACTAAAGGACCCATGTGACGATGCTAGGCTCACGTGGATGATTCAGGACCATCTGCTTATATTAAGGTCAACTGATGAGCCTGCCTAATTCCTAATTTCGTCTGCAAGTTCAGTCCTCTGTCCCCTTATCCAGTAAGAGTGCACGGGTTCCAGGATATGTGGGGTGCAGACGGCTTGGGGAGAGGCTGTTACTCTGCCTGTACAGATGAGTAAAGGCCAGGGATGCTGTTACACGTCTGACAGTGCCCAGGGCAGCCCCCACAGATGCGGGGAGTGCCAAGGGTGAGGAGCCCCGATGTGGCCATCAGTTTTGCTGGGGGCTTCTGGTTGGGAGGAGGCGAAGGGAGCTTCCTGGGGAGCTGAAGTCTTTGCTCTCTTGATCTGGGCTGTGGGCACACAGATGTATGCATCCCTAACAAATGCAGTTATTAGATGTGCACACTGAAAGTATGTTACGCCTCCTTGAAAAGACCACTGGGGGGCCTGGGTGGCTCTCTTGATCAAGCGTCTGACTCCCATTTCTGCTCTGCTCGGGATCCCTGAGTCGTGGGATTGAGCCCCACGTTGGGCTCCGTGCTGAGCTAGGAACCTGCTGGGGATTCTCTCTCCCCTGCTCGTGTTCTCTTTCTCTCGAGACAAAAAAAAACCCACTGATTTTTAGAATAGCAGTTAAGTTTACGATTTTTAAATAGGGGGTAAAACTAGAAGAAACAGCTGGGGGACTTGTGAGCACCTGCATCTGCAGAGCAGGACTGGGATGTGAACGGCAGGCGGGGCGGTGAGGACGCCTTTAATGTTCCTCTCCTGGTAGCATTAATTTATAATGTAAATTACCTTACTAGAAATTAGTAATTAAAAATAATAAGACAGGGGCACCTGGGTGGCTCAGTTGGTCAAGCGTCTGAATTCAGCTCAGGTCATGATCTCATGCTTCAAGGTTTTCAGCCCCGCGTCGAGCTCGGTGCGGACAGCCTGGAGCCTGCTTTGGATTCTGTGTCTCCCTCTCGCTGCCCCTCCCCAGTTAACACTCTCTGTCTCTCTCTGAAAATAAATAAATGCAACATGAAAAATAAGACGAAACAGAAATTTGCTCCATCACTGCATCCTTAGGCTGGAAGTCCCTGTCGGGGCCAGGCTCTGTGCCCAGTGTTGAGGTTGAGTGTCAGGAAGATGTCCTGGCCCAGGAGGGCTTGGTGCCCGTGCGGGAAAGGTGGTGCGGAAACAGGCCAAAGCCACGTTCCCTTGGTTTCCAGGAGGCTGTTGGGTGGATGAAGGGAGAGGCAAGCCCCACAGAGGAGAGTCAGTTCTCATGGCCATGGACCTGTCACCTCCTCCCCTCCTCCCGTGGTGGAGCTTTGGCTCCAGACCCTTAGTGGGAGAGGGGCAGAGGCCTTTGTCACTGGGTCCCTGTGTTCAGGGCTGGGCAGGGCACAGAGCCCCCCTCCGTACCCTAAATTGGGAGTCCCCAGGACTACTGTGTACTTCGCTCCCCCCACCTGGCCCTGGGCTCCCTCCCCCCAGGCCTTCTGCACACCTGCACCTGATAGGAGCCCCGCTTCCTCTCTGCCTGGCCTTCGTCCCTTGTTCCCACCATGACATTTTCCTTCTCGGCTTCACAGCTATAAAAAAGCAGGACAAGCGGCTCGGGTTTTAACTTCAGATACCGAATATCATCGTGCAGAGTACTTTCCTCTCTTTAGCCGTCGTGCTTTGGGGATTTGTCTGTGCTGGTACTTGTAGCTGGACTTCAGTGTTCTAACCGCCACGGAGACTGTATTGCCGCCTAGCCACAGGTGATCCTATGCTGACGCCTCCCTTCGATCCCTGGGGGCTCCAGGAGCCCCCAAGTACCCTTAAAAGCGAGGATGTGCAGCGTCAGAGGACCCTGGCAGCCCGCGTCGTGCCACGGTGCCCGCCCACCGCACACTCCAGGTGGCTCTCCAGGCCCCTTATGGTGCCCCGGGGAGGCTGCTTTCCATGAGGCTCCCTGGTCCCGTGGTCCTCCAGGTGCGCCCACGGCTCCCTCTGCGCCCGCCACCCCAGCAGCGCCTGCCCCGTCACCCCTCCATCAGAGTGTTTTACCAGCAGTTTAGGAGGCAGGTCAGCCTCTGGGACGGTAACAGCCACAACCATTTTTTTATTTTTATTTTTTAAATTAAAAAAAATTTTAATGTTTATTTTTGAGAAAGAGACAGAGCACAAGTCGGGGAGGGGTACAGAGAGAAGGAGACACAGAATCCGAAGCAGGCTCCAGGCTCCGAGCTGTCACACACA